GGGTTACAGAGGCCTCATCATGACTGCTCGGGCCACCCCTGCTCCTATCCGCTCTTAGTGGGGCGCACTTCTCCATTCACCTCCTGCATGCAATGCTGATCCCCAATCTCTTTTGAGAAATTGGACTTAAAACGACATCTGGCTAAAGTGTAGATATTTCAAATCATTCTCTGACATTGGTTAACATCCCTTGTTGTCACATGCAGAGATGTTAATTCAGAAGTGGTTGTGCCTTCTTGCTGCATTTGATTCACTCCCAGGAACTAGTTCAGACATTGGGGAAATCTAGGGCTGTAATGACTATACCTGATAAAGGGTGAAATCAGCTTTGTCACCTATACGTGCTGAAGATTTACCTTCCTCCTCTGATTCACTGTAGATGCCATCTGATGAATCACTTCCTTTGTGATATGAATATGAATCGCTTCCAGAGTAGTCCAGTTTGTCATTGTGGATTCTCTCCATAGAAGTCTACCTGCAAATCATACGAAGCAGCAGATAATTTAATGCATTACTTCCTATATTTATTGTTAACTATTCTTTTGCTGGTGGAGGTAAGGGATTTGAAACACACTAGTCAGAGAAGAATGGAAATGCAAATGGTTTGAGAACAATGAGTCTGGTTTTTGTGCTTGGAATATTGCCAGATAGTAGATATCAACAAGTATTTGTTAAAGTAAATAGAGCCTGCCTTGTACATGCAGGAATCCCATCCGGGCACTGGTTCAGGACTGGCTCAGTTCCAGTTGCTGCAGCCACTTGGCTAGTGAACCAGGGGACAGAGATATTCCTTTCTGTTTCTTCTCCTCTCTGTATATCTGCCTTTCCAACAGAAAATAAATACATCTTTTAAAAAGTTAATGTAAGTAAATATTTTCTGTGACTCTGACAGTAGCTGTTCAAGAAGAAAATGTTGGCGACCTAGCTCTGACCTTTAATCCTCCAGATGTCAATTTCAAGCTATTCTAATTGCACTAAATTTAACATTTTGGGGTGGGGGCGGGCCTCACTGGTATTTTTATATAATAAGCTGACACACTGGATGCACAGAATGCTTTTCAAATTAAAAGCACAGATCTGGAAGCAAATGTCATTGAAAATGTCTTCTTTAAAGTCTGCTTTTCAGGATGTGTGCTGTAACATAATAAGTTTATCCACCACTTTTGATGCCCACTTCTAATCTGGCTTACAATGCATTCTGGGAAGCAGCTGATAATGGCTTACTTGGTTAGGCCCCTGCCACTCAGGCACAGGTGGAGTTCTGGACTCCTGGCTTCAGCCTGGCTCAGACTCACTGAAGGAAGTTCTCTCTTCTCTCTCTGTTGCTCTGCCCTTCAAGAGGATGAAAAACAAAAACAAACTTGTTTTCAGGGAGAGCATGGTGGTGTTTAAGGCTCCGCAACCTTTATGGGGTTTGTGTCCTGGCTGCTTCACTTCTGATCCAGCTCCCTGCCTATGGCCTAAGTGGCAGAGGATGGCTCAAGTCCTTGGGGCCCTGTGCCCACCTGGGAGATCTGCAAGAAGCTCCTGGCTCCTGGCTACAGAGTGGCTCAAACTGGGGAGTGAAACAGCAAGTGGAAAATCTGTTTTTCCTCTTCTTGTAAATTTCCCTTTGAAATTAAAAATAAATAAATCTTTTAAAAAAATCTGCTTTCCTTCTCCCGTTGTTGACTTATTGTTGAAAACTAAACATTTCAGGCATGATTACCATGGTACAAAAGTCAGTTTTAAACTTTATCTGGCAAGTGTCCAGCTGACAAAGTGCAGATTCTTCTCACTTATGGGGGAAGCAATTGCTGTTGATACCACTCCTTCTGGTGGTTTAGAAAAATACATGTTTGTTGTTGATTTCAACCAAGAGTCCTCCTAGCCAGGGATTGTCCCAGGCACTGTGGCAGCTTTAGCACTCAGTGTCCTGTCCCTGGACATTTTTTTTTTAATCCTGCAGGCTGGGAGAAACTGGGACAATTGACTACCCCCATAATTCATAACCTTCTTAGGCACTTACTAGATGAAAGTGATTTGGTTAATTATTGATCTGTGCTAGGTAAGATCATTTCCCCTTTTGCTGTTGCTCTTACATGAACCAATGAGTGACAATCCATACATGGGCTGTCTTCAATACCCCAAATAAAGCAGCAGCAGGCAAATAAACAAGAGTGGCAATATGCTTTCATGTGCTTGTCATCTCTGTTGTCCTTGTAGTCAGGAAAGAACCAGCTGAAAGAAGAACTGAAAATTCTATGACGGCAATAGCAAGTCTGAATGAAGACAGGCTTTAATGTCAAGATATTTTGCACCAGGACAGGAATTGCTAGACTAGCGTGTGAAGTCCCAGAAAGGGAACAGGCAATGAGTCAGGACGCCAGGGGAAACAACAGCCGGTAAATATGAGTTTGTAACACTTCATCATTGAGAACAGAGTCCAAGGTTAGTAATCCTCTCTGAAATCTGTTTACTTCTGTCCTTTTAACTTGTCCAACTGCTACCAACCTTTCCATGAAAACTCTACTCAGTAATACACTGTGGGTGGGGGTTAGTTTTTAAAAAAATGTACAATATCTTTGGTTGTGTTTTAAGACTAACTTGGAAAATGTAAACACACTTTGGAAACCTGAACAAGTTGTGGATGCATATTTTCTAAAAATGTCAGCCTGTTTCAGTTCTGCTAAAGGAAATCAAAGGGATTAATGCATTTGCTGCTGGGCCCAGCTGTGGCACGGGAGGCAACAGGCGCTCTTGGAGACCTGATTGATGGGCTGCAGAGGGATTCAATCGGAGGCCAGAGAAGACAGAATTCAGGTGCTCACAGGACAGCTACCCTTCTTCCTTTGACTTCTTAGAAACAATGGGATATTTAGCCTTATTCCCAACTCTAGTCCCATGGTCCATCAGTATGTGACCCATCTCTGTGTTCAGACATGGTGGTGGTGGAATTTCTTTGCAAGGGTCTAGTTGTGAAAGAGTAAGCAGAGATCCTGCCCAATCTTTCCAAGCTGGGACTCTGCCTACATTTACTGAAGCTTTCAGTCATCTTTCTCAGTTTGAACAGTATCACCCAAGATATCAGTTTATTTTGCCTAGACACAAAAATTATCTCTAACTGCTCTTCCTGCTGTCAATGCTGTGACCTCTAAATTTGCTGTCTCATAGCAACCAGACCCATCTTTGAAAACACGATCTTATCAATTCGTCTGCCATCCCTTTCCTGGCCTTCAAGTCTCCTAACAGGCTCCTATCACCCTCAGGTGAAAAGTGAATCAAGCCCCAAACAATCTGTCTCCGGCAGGTCTTTCTTCATCTTTGCCACAGAGTTGCAGCCTTGCTGCTTTTCTTTCTCTGTCTTGAATATGCATCTTAGAGCAACTTGGATGATTCCCTCTTGGCTCTTAGAGTGGCTGGGTCCTTTGGGCTAGCCACCTAGTCATACTTTCTCATGTCATATTTTAAAGTCTTATTTATTTATTTGAGGAGACGGAGACCAAGTGGTGAGAAGCAGATTGAGACGAGGAAGTCAGAGGAGGTGAAGAAGCAGGGGAGAGGAAGGGGAAAAGAACAGAGATAGAAACCCCCGGTTCCTGGTTCACTCCCCAAATTTCTAGAATTGCTGAGACACCCCTTCCCCGCTTCCAGATTTCTCCCAGGGTACCAGGAAGTCAGGCACTGCAGCTGCCACCTGCTGCCTCCCAGGTGAAGCTGGAGCCTGGAGCCGGATCAACACTTTCCAATATGAAAGTGTTTCTGATTACAGGATGCATGTGTTGACCCTGCATCCTAACCTCTAGTCCCAACATCTACCCCCAGAGCACCAGATGCTGTTCCTGCAAACAAACTTACCACACACACACACACACACACACACACACACACTTCCCTTGCTGACAGATTGTAAATCGTTGCCCAGCTCCACCAACCAGACCACAAGTTGTGCCTTATCTTTATGTGCTGGGCATTAATTCTAACTCCTGGAACAGTGATGCCACGCAGTAGGCACAGAATGCATCCTTCTGTCTGGTTTCTATTGACGTGGCAACGCATCACAGGTCAAGTAAACCAGGAGCTGAACACAAGGGCCCCAAAGGGAAGACAGCTAAAAGGCAATCTTTGAGTCTTCTAGGTATTTTGTGATGGTAAAAATATTTTGTTATAAAACAACAACGAAAAGAGGGCGTGGCATCGCCATGGCCGGCGGCCTGTGACAGTTGTCACCACAGATGTGAGGTTGTATTCTTAAAGCCAGTTTGGGCAGAGGGAGGCCGGAAGTCAAATGTGTGAGGTGAGAAACCAGAGGGGAGGCTTGCCGGTGATAACCGCAGAGTTTCCCCGCTAGTTTGAGGAGGGCGGCCTTCCAGCCCCCAGGGTGGGTTTTTCTTTTTTTTTCCTGTGATGGCGGCCGCCTGGGGTTAGGTAACTGTGGGTCAACTTGCCTCATCTGAAGTAGTCCGACTCTGCCTCTGGTCTCCCTCTTTTTCTTGGCAACGAGAGAAGCCATAAAGTAGGTTTGTTTGAAAAGAGGCAAGAAGAAGAAGAAAAAAAGTCCTCTTCTTCAAGCCTGGTGTGGCACCCACTTGGCAGAGGCTGCGCCGGGGGTGCCGGGGGTGCTGCGCTCTGGGGCAGCTGCCGGTCCCGCGGGGCACGGCTCCCGCGCAGCGGCCGGAGCAGGCCGGGCCCGCAGCCATCTGTGGGTGGGTGTCGTGGCCAAAGGACGCTCGTGTTCCCTCACCTCCGCTTCCCCTGGCCACCTTCTGCCGGTAGCCGTGTGCGTGCGCCGCCCCCGGAGCCCGGGGACCCTCCCTTGCCTCGCCCGGCCGCTCGCCCCGGGCCTGCTCCGCCTCCCGCTCTCGGCGGGACCGCCCCGGCGGCGCCGAGCCACAAAGTTTGGGCGCCCCGAGCGGACTCGGGCAGCTGGGCTGGAGGAGGAGGCGGCGGCGGCGGCGGCGCCAAGTCCGCGCTCAGCCGCTGCATTGGAGCCTGTGGGAACCTGGTTCCGGGTAGGAGGCGAGGGAGGAACAACTTGTGCGCGCGGTGGGCGTGGGCCTTCATTGTCCGCGGGACTCTCCGGGATCCGCTCGCGCACCCGCTCGGATTCGTCGGGAGTTCGGGCGACAGCTGCGGCCAGTGTGGAGCCTCCCTTTGTCCTCTCGGACCTCCCTGCCCCCCTTCTGGCCCTCTCTCATCGCCCCGCTGCGTGCCGCTGCCCCCGACTCCGGGGGCGCGACCTTGGAGACTCTCGCCACCTTCGCCTTCCCACCGAGCCGAGCCCCCGGAGCTGCGAGGGGGACGCTGTCGCAGGCCGGTGGCTGTAGGATGGTGGCGGGGCGGCCTCCGGGCCGCAGCCCCTGGAGCTGGCTGCTGTCCGGGCTGTGGTTGCTGGCGCTAGGCGGGCCCGGGGCTCGGCTGCACGCCCAGGAGCAGCCCTCCTGCAGAACAGCCTTTGATCTCTACTTCGTCTTGGACAAGTGAGTGCCTGATGGGGTGCCGGGGTCTGCTGCTTGCGGGAGACTCAGGGTCTTCTGAGATGGGGAGGCTGAGAGGTGCGTGTGCCTGTTGGCTGGGGTGTTGCTCTCCCCTTCCAAGCGGCCAATGCTGTCGGATCTGCACGGGCTGGAGACAGGATGGGGGCAATAGGAAGCCGGGCTACTTGGTTGTCTCCAGCTGGGGCTAGCCCTCTTCCTCAAAGGGACTCAAATTGGCTCCTCCGTCCCTTGTCCTCCCTCTCCTTTCCTCCACCCCTGCGCGCTGGCTTTTAAAGTTTGGCTGCTTTTTCACCCCCTGGTCACAGCGCTTTCTGCAAAGCCAGGAAAAGCCTAGGGCTAGCAAATCCAACGTGGTTTGCATTTCCTGCCGGGGAGGGCTGTTGTGTTTATTATTATCACTCTTAACCCGCCAGTTGTCCTGAGGGCCGGGCTGACTTGTTGCCTGCAAGTTGCCTCTCCATAACTGATAGCTCCCGTGACTTTGGAAGAACCCAGAAGCTCTTCTCTGAGGCATGGAGAAGACGACACTCTTTTGAGATGTTTGCCTTATTTTCCTGATCAGTTTAATTTTGTTTTTCAGGTCTGGGAGTGTGGCCAACAACTGGATTGAAATTTATGATTTTGTCCAGAAGCTTACAGAAAGATTTGTGAGGTGGTTTTTTTCCCCCCACTTTACTTTTCTAGACGGTGGGGGTGGGGAGGAAGTGGAACCCAGTGGAGGGAGGGTTTCCCTTTGGGGAGACCTTTTACAGGGGAAAGATTTTGAGGCCTGGAGGTTGTCACTGCACCAACCCTGTCCTTAGGAAAGCCCCAAGGCCTTGGGGGTTCATTTCATCTGTGTCCCCCAAACTTGGTGCACTCTGTGCAACAGTATCTTAAGAGGTTGTTGCAAATGGCTTTTCCTTGCCGGGTTTTCATCTGTTTCAAATTTCAGTTATGCTTTCTCACAATTTATCACATTAAAAAAAAACTTTATGCTAATGGTATCCACACTATATTTTCCAATCCTCACAATTCTTGGTGTTGTGAGTGAGGTCCTCCTTGAAAAAAAATAGTGTTGAAAAACTTCAAATGAACATGTGTTAATAACCCACCACCAGAAAACGCACGTGTGTGTGTGTGTGTTTAAAGCAAGGACTGGTGTTTTCGCAATGTGTGGGTGTGTGGTTGGTTTAAAATTTCACTGTTCCATATATGCAGTAAGTGTCACTACCAGAGAATGGGTTTCTATAAAAATGTGCGGCTACAATGAATTCCCACTTAGCCTGATGTTTAGAGGTAACCAGGAATTAGTGGGTTCATCCATTTAAAAATAACCCCAAGATACCAGGTTTCTGAGGTTTTTAGTTTTCTTCTTTTTCTTAAAAAAAGTGACAAGTCAATGTAAGTTTATCAAGATAATGGAAAGGACATGAATAGGAAGTGTATCATTAAATATTGCTTTTTTCAGTCTTGCTCGCCCAAATGTTTTCTGTAAAACAGTCTTGGATGATCAAAACATTTTGAAAGTCATGCTGCAAGTAACTTCCAACAATCTGTAGAGGCCTAGGCAATCCTTCAATTATTGGCAGCAGTGAAGTTATCCCTATAAAAATGTATGCCTGTCCGTGTTCAGTCGTCAGGTCCCTGCTTAAGCCAAGTGTAAGACTCATCTCTGGACTGGGATGGAGAGAAAGCTGTCTAAGAAAGAAAAATAAACAAGACCTTCTATGGTTAAACATCCAAGCCAGCATAGGTAGTTGTTGCTAAGTTTTCTGATTTCATGCTAGAGGGTGCAGTGACATGCAAATTTTAATCAGAAAACAGTGGGTCATTTCAATGCAGCATTTTTAGGAAGTGGGGGTTTTAATCATTGGATCTGGTGTGCAAGTTGGAATTCTGTAATGCCTGATTTGTTTGCCAAACTTGCTCAGTTACCGACAACACATTTGTGGTGACTGCTGGAGAGAATGACTTTTGAAATATACGTTAAGCCTCAGGGATAGCTCTGAGCTTCAGTTTATCAGTCGTAGTGGCCTGTCTTCAGTTTTGGATTTCGATAATAATTGCCTAGAGTGTCCTACGCTGCATCTAATGGGGGAATGATGTGGCTTGCTGGAGCGGGCAATCGTTGCCCACTAGAACCATGTACCTAGAGACATGGAACACTGACAATACCCAATTGAAAAGTGACTTGTTAGTTTCTTTCCTCTTTTCCCCAGTCTTTTCAAAGCTTGCATTAGAGCTGCTTTTCTATGAACTCTTGTAGCTGTCATTGTAGTCATCCCATCAGATGGGCTGCTCTCCAGCCTTAAGTACCCGGATAGCTGATGGTCATGACTGCAAAGTCGGACCCCCTTCGGGGAGGTGAGGTAGGTTACCAGGGAAAGAAGCATTGTTTGTGAAGCTTCATGCACTGACTGAGAATTTATGTTTCTAGTCAGCCTCTTTCCAAACGCTGGTCCCTGTGAGTGATGGAGGAGTGGGAATACTGGGAAGCATCAACAGAATCCAAAGTGACTTAGGCAGCAGTGCTAGGCAGAGTTGGCCAGCAATGCAGGGAGTTCCATTTAAAGGGAGCCCTGAGCCTTCAATGAGACTGATTTTAAATGAGATTTCCTGGTTCTACATCTGTATTGTATCAATATTTCTTTTTAAGATGTTTTAACTGCCTCTTTTCTTATTTTGCAGCCCTGAAATGAGATTATCTTTCATTGTGTTTTCTTCTCAAGCAACCATTATTTTGCCATTAACTGGAGACAGGTTAGTGCATTATCATTTGACTGCAGGCTTTTAGTAGAGATGAATCTTCAAGGAATGATTGATAATTTCCAAGTGGTGATTTGGGCCTCTCAGTGGAATCAAGCAAATGCACAGACTATTCAGTTCTCTGCACTAACAGAAGGGGAAGGAGGAATGACTAATACAAAATAGCAGATTATCTCAAAATCAATATCATTTCTACTGGCTGAGGAATGAACAATGAGAAGCAGAACCTGGCCCAAGTTGTCCATTCACTCTGTGCTACCTTTCCCCACGCTGTTACTGCCAGTGGTTCTGCATTTTTCTTGTTTAGATGTGGATCTGTCTGGCCAATTGAACTCAGTTCAGCAGATAGACTTTTAGGTTTTCTCTAAAGCATGCTGATGCTAAATATATTCACTTCGATAAGGGAATTTGCAATATCTGTTTCCTTAGTGCTTTGAAAATGTCTGGCCTTTGTAAATCCAGTGTTGCAACACTTTGAGTAATGGCTTCGGAGCCCTTGTATCCTGTGTTCCTTTAAACACAATGTGGCACATGAGAAGAGTCACTGACATATTTTTGAGAATGACCACTTTGTGTGGGTTCAGCTTTCCTTTTCAGAGCATGAAATCCATAGTGAGAAGAGAGCTTTTCTTCTTTTTCTGTTTCTTGTAACACAAACTATGGAAAGCAGGTCTTACACAGTGCATTTGTGTTGCATGCATGAGTGGAAGGATGAATGAGTTAACATTATTTTCAAAGCAAATATCTTGAAGCTGTAATGTCAGCATGTGATTTTGGGCTAGTGTTTTGCTTGATTTATGGATACTTGAAAAGATGTGTGAGTAGTTTTCTTTTTTTGTAAATTTTCTCTTAAGAAGAGCCTAGTATTTAAAGGAGATCAAGAACTTATATGTAATTCACTGATTTTGTTAAAAACATTATATCTTGTGCTTTACATTTTTCTTTTCGTAAAGCAGTAAGTCTCTGACTCTGTGAGTTCAGCCTTGGCTCTCAGTGTGGCTGGTTTTAGGCTTCCCTGTGATTTCCCAGCCTTCCTATCTGTGTATGCATGGATCTCTTCAGGGCCAGAGCAGTACAGCCCATGTACAGCAGCTCTTTATGCCTGGTGATAACCTAGCACTTTGGCAAAAAGTGTTTTGTTCCATTGAGCACTTTAATTTCCAAAGAAACAGACTTGGATCCAAACCTTCCCTTTCTCCCCCACACAGGCCAATTTTGTCCTTTGTAGCATGTGTATATACCAAACGGAGATGTGGAAGTCTCTTAGAAATTGACAGCTATTGCATTGTGCAGGTTTTCTGCTAGGCCCTTTGCATGCGAGTCCTTCAGCAATTTGAAGTTGAAGTGCAGTCTTTGGTTGACCAGATGGGTACTGTGTAGACAGGCATAGAAGTTTAAATCTTGAATGGAAGTTGGAGATTCTTGCTTTATCATTGTTTGAATGTCACAGCAGGGAGACTGCAGTGGCTTGCAGAAGAGATGTCTCTAACAGGCAACATAATGTTGCAGTTAAGAGCCGCTGGAGCAAGTCTTTGGTTAGCTAAGCGGTCAAGGACAAATGCCTTAACCTCTTGATGTCTCAGTTGCTTCCACCTATGTAATACTGATGATGACAATGATGATGATGAAGTCATACATAAATTATAAGGGTGTTGTAAGAATGGAAGTTGATGAGTATGGAGTACTTAAGACAAATTTTGGTACATAATACTCAAGAGAGCATAAATATCACCACCATCATCATCTGGAGCTAGGGAATGTGCAGTATTTTAATGGTCATGGAAGAATTATGCTCATATAAAGGGAATATTGTCCTAGTTGGAATGATTTATAATCCTCTAGGAGGAATTTTAATAAAGTTCCTCTCAGCTTATTCTCAATGTAACTGGCTTCTCTATTGCTTCCCAAATAGAAATGTTTTCACTTTTAATGAATTTGAATACTTGTGGTACGTTGAATTAATGTGTGGGGTTGCAGGACATACACTGAGAAGGTCTGATGTGTGTTCTGGTTTTACACTTACTGATTTGGAAGCGTAAGGCGAATTGTTTTACTCAGTGTGTCAATTTCTCTGTCTCTAAAATGTAGACACAAAATCTGCCCAATCAGAGAGTTGTGGAAATGAAAATAAGGTAATTCTTAGAAAGGTTCTTTGTATGTCATGGGACATCTCCCTGACAGGGTTGATAGGGTGATACTCTCTTCTATTTTCCTTTTACCTATTGGATTAAATCAGTCACAGCAGATTTCATTGGTCCCCGGTATTTGGATTTGGAATCTTTTTCCACCCATCTTTAATGTGTAATAACAGTTTGCATATTTAGATGAAGGGCCACTGAATGCTTATCTCCACAAGTATTGTAGAATTTTGTAGAAACTGGATTTTTTTTATTGATACATTGCATAATGTGACACAGTTTTATAGGCACTGGGATTCCCCCCAGAAACTGGAATTTTAACATGTCAACTTTCTTGATAGCATGCGTCACCGTCACTTTCATATATAGATTTGGGTACTGGAGAAAATCCCAGGTTAAGCGGGGAAAAAAAAAAAGAAGCAAATGTCAAGTTGAGCCGGTTTCGCAATTTTGCTTCTGTTACTCATACTTCTTTACTATCTTGGTAAACGTAAGAAGTAGTGCTGTCGCGTTTCTCTGAGAGTTGCTAAAGATTTAGGGATGAGGCAAGACTAAAAGGAGTAAGTACTTAGGGTTGGACCATTCTTTCTACTTCCTTTCAGCGTGGTGCCTGGTCCTGTAGAAATGCATGAGTAGAATGAATGTGCTAAGAAATGAGTTCTATAATTTATGTTCTCAACATTTAGAAACTTCTTTTGCTTAAGGACTTCAATGTAAAACTTTCTCTCTTTCATGCCTCCATGATTTCTGTCTTCCAAGGTTCAGTTAGTTCATTCATGCATTTACTGGTGTGCTTATCTACGGTATATAGGTGGTGGGCCTTATGGATAATGTGTAGATGCGTCATCGAGTGTGTGAGTGAGGAGGGGTAGGCACAGACACAGGCTTCACAGGTACAGTCAATTCAGAGGAAAGTGCCCCGAGTTGATTGCATCTGGAACTATCCGACTACGAGATATTACAGAATTTAGAATTAGGGCTAATTTTAAAAGACAGTTTTAATTGTTCTGTTACGTAATTGGGAATGGTGAATTAGGCTCAGTTCTGTTGAATTATATCTTAAAGCTGTTGTAATGATAGAGTTGAAAACATTTAATGAACAATTATGAGATGTTGGGCATTTTGTGCCGATTCAGTTGAGCATGAGGTAAGAGATCTGGTTATTATCTCTCTGTTTTACAAATGAGGACACTGATTTCCTCTCTAGCCATGGATAAGATAGCTGACTTGGGATTGGAATGGAATTCAGAGATTAGAAAGATAAAGTATTCAAGAATAGAGTGGTTCCTACTGTTCCCTTGGAGCGTCCTGGTGGTGGCTTCCTGTTGCAACACAAAGACCAGGGCTGAACCTTGCATCAGATGAAAATAACAGTTGCATACTAGCTGGGTGATTGATTCTACACAAGTTGCTTAACTCCTGGTGATACAATTCTAGGCCTGTTAAAGGGGTTAAGCATTTATACCATATGGCAACACTAAGACAATGAAAGGCATACAATGCATGAAAAGGCCGTAATTATATGTAGAATATGCCACAGATGTTTAAAGCATTGTTCATTCTTCTTTCTTTTCTTGTGTCCCCTACTTGGAACAACATGCTTTTTAGTATTTCTTGTCATTTTTTCCAGTTCTTCTGTTTTCTTTATTTCTTGTTTGAGTGGGAAGAAGGCGAAGGCCTACATGGAGCTTAGAGGTTGACAGTGTATTCCATCGCCATCATTGTGCTTGAATGGTAACAGATAGTCATGTACCAGGCTCGTGATGGGTACTCAGAGACTCAAGGGACTCCGCTCACAATGACCCAGAGAAGCAGGATTCACACCCGAGTCTGGGGCTGAGTGTGAGCGCTTCACCAGTGCACTGTTCTGACTCACACTCCCTGAGTTCCCTTCTGCAATCTTCACTTTAGTCAGAGTTTGTCAGAGTTTAAAGACATGCTCATGCTTTACATTTCCTCTATTCTTGCAAGCCAGTTTTGTGGTAAGAGGAAGTGATCTAAAGAACAAAGAAAAATAAATGAAATTATATTGGGGAACGAATTACTCCTGTTTAGGAAAGTCTGTTTTGGCTACAGTGTATGCAAACCCTGAGGATTCTGAGTGTGGCAGCAGCCCAGATTCTAGTGATGGATATGTTAATAATTTCCAGGGATCTGCTTTTGAGTATGTCCTAGACAATTTAGTATACTGTTACTCATGCCTGCAAGACACACCTGGTACCCCGAAGTGGTGAAGTCCTGGGGTTGATTTCTCATGCTTCACCAAAGCACAGAAAAAGAAGTAGAATGAAAATACACAAAATGCATCAGGCATGCGCTTCAGGTGTGAGCTGAATGCCACAGTTTGGTAAGTGCAGACAAAATTGGAGAAAATTTTTCACAAAAATCAGATTGTGCAGGTTGCCTTGTGTGATGCTATTTTTAGGTCCAGGAACGTCACTTTGGATTTATTGGTTTGAATTATGGACCCCGAAGAACCATGTGAATGTTAGATGTGCAGTGAGACGTGAACTGAACAATAAGCAAGCTGTTACATAAAGCTACAGTAAAGGATGGCAAGAACCTGTTAATTCCTAAGATAATCTGTTACATATCTATATACCTATATCTATATCTATATAAAATATGTAGATGTAAAATATATACAGACACACCTGTATTTAAATATCTGGGCAAGGTCTTTGGCTTTGTTCAATTCATAGACTGCAGAAGATGTGAACATGAAGTTGTGCCAGTCTGGGTTCCAGGCCTGAGACAGGAATATCGTGTGCACGTTTCCTCTTTTGGGTTCTTCATGGGGAAACCTTCTACCCTATAAGAAACTGGATTGTGTTGTGACCACCATGGTAGTTGGAA